GGGTGGTAACAGAGTTTATTCACTGTGCCAATTTCAGTACCAGCCACAGTACCACAGCCCCTACTCCCACGCAGCTGCTGAGTCATGTAAAGGGAACTGAATCAGGCTGAAAACAACGTGCCGACTCTATTTGGGCAACGGTGCCTGTTACCCACAGTTTCATACCTATTACCAGTACCCCCATAACTTTCCTAGCTAGTAAAGGTGCTCTGTTCTCCGTCTAGCTAGCTACTATCTAGTCAAAATTAGCGGGATCAACCCCAACCAATCTGGTAGGCAGCCAGCTGGATGCAAGTGCCGGTAAGATCAGCAGTGTAGCTAAAAGGAACCTGTATGAAGGAAAGATAGATCTACTACCTGAGATGATCCACTACAAGCAAACTTGTCAGCACTGAACAAGGCGCGCATCAGAAACAGCCTGCAATTGCTCACACCTTATCTTCTACACATGGCTCCGAAACCAGGCAGCTATGTCTTCCAAACTGAAAACTAAGTTTGTAGAGGATATTTCTTGAGCTGCACTCCAAGGTCTCGTTCTTCCTGGAAGAAGTGCCTGTTTGTCAGGCGGCTGAGTTCCTCCAAACATGCCGTCGCTGCATGAAGTATGGCTGGTTTCATTGTAGCCTGAGCCAGGACATCAACGCCCATGCTTTGACCTTCGTCTTCTCGTTGCTGCAACACGGCGCGAACTGCCTTCTTCGTCATTGGCCAGTCACTCCTTGCTGCAAGAAGACAATGATCGACCACACAGGTGTTAGTTCTGGACCAGCCAAGAAATTTCGCAGCAGCTGAAATCGATGAAACGGCGGGACAATGAGAAATCTTTCAGTTCGCTCTCTTGTACTTCTTCCATCGCTTCTGACGGCCGTACCACCGGTACCGTACCGTAGTAGCATCATGCTCGCTCATTGCCTCGTCATTTGTTATCCTCGTGAGCTCATCCACCGTCGCGCAGGAAGCAGGATAACCACCCATTCCAGCAAACTTTCAAACTTGACTCGGACAAATCTTTTTCAACGACGGGCATGTCTCGGGTTCTTGCCGCTACCTTGGGCTGACTTGTAGTTGCCGACCGAGTTCAACATGCTATCATGCTTGGTAGCTCACTGGAAGAGTGTCCATTTATCTTTCGAAGTCTGCCAGGTTGCAGCAGCCGAACAGGGACTCTGCCAAGCATGTCTGCGGCTCGACCGCCACCGTGCGGATACAGCCAAAGATTGCCAGTTTTGTATCGAAAGCAAGCAGTGGTTGAACCTCGATTGAGGCAGCAGCCTCAGCCACAACCACCGCAACTCTATAGTTAGCTGCCATCTCACTGGAATGCAAAGTCGAAATCGGACATCCGAAATCCAGACAATGGCTTAATTTGTGGCGATGCTCTCTTTGTCGAGGGGGGGGGCAAGTGCTGCAAGCTCAAGCCCACACACGAAGCCAACAACCCTACGAGTACTGGCCTAGTCCAGCCTTTGGCAACTGCCTTTTTAAATTGCTTGCCGATGTGTTGATGTGTTGACAAATTTGGCTGGATAGACAGGATGTGTTTTTACCTCGCCGTGTCAATCGGTGGATCAATCCCAGCCAAAACCGAAATGCGACCATGCTGCTTCATCATGTACCAGGCACCAGGTAGTACGACAGTACCGGTACGTGGCAAAGCAGTGGGCGATGGCTAATCCAAGCTCCTTCAGCCTTCAATACAGCTCCCATCCAGCCATCCAGCAACAAAGAGCGAGTGTACAAAAGCTCGTGAAAATGATATCAAGATGCCAACCTCAGCCTTCAGCAATGGTCCTGTGCTGGCTTTGTGGGCCATAGGCCATAGAGATGCCCATCTATCTTTAGCTCCTTTGGGAGTTCGTACCGTAGCGTGACTGGTAGTCGTAAAGTTTTTTTTTAAAAAAAAGCCTTATGAAAAGGGTGGTCTTCTGTGAGGCTGTGAGGACAGTGAAGGGCTAGGGCTCGCTCCAGCCTAAAAACAGGGGATGAATCATTAATTAATATTGCTTTTCCGAGAAAAGAAGATTTTCTGTGATCGGCAACTGACTTAAAGTCTGGATCCACCAAACCACGACCGATTAGATCCTCGTCAAATGTAGGGCAATCAAGTTTAAGTCATTTTGGATTTTAGGGTTCCACATCTGAGCTTCGGAAGTCGTACGAAGCAATGATGGTGAAAGTTTGTTTTCTTTCAAACACACACGAGACCGCCGCCTCTAAGCAAAATCGTGTAAGACAGTTCACAGTTCGCCTCATTCTGTCATATTGGGTCTTTCAGGATTTTAGTACTTGGGAATGCAGTCATTTGCATCATTTATTTTTGCTGACATCCAACATCCAATTATTAAGGCAACGTACTGAAAGATATACATTACTATTTCAACAGATACCCCTCTCTGCCTGGCATATTCGCGTTGGAAATGTCGTCTTTAAGTATCCTCTTCCCTCAGAAACAGTACTGGTACTTAGAAAGAGATCCAGAGATCCAACATCCGAACATCCAAAATCACCAGAGGTTCCAACTCAGGCTTTAGGTCTTTCATCCACAGCTCAGATTTGCCAACCCATTCCAATTCTCTCACAATTTTTCTTCTAGCTAGCTAACTAGAATACCAAAAACCATCCATCCAACCAACCAACCAACCAACCAAAGCTACACAATGAGTGACATGGAAATCAACGCGCCTGAGCACTTTGTCTGCCCCATCTCCATGGTTGTCATGAGCCACCCCGTCAAGACCGAAAACGGACACGTCTTTGAACGCAGTGCCATTATGGAATGGATCTACTTTGGAAAGGCCACCTGCCCCTTGTCCAGAGAGCCTCTTCATCCTTCCAAGATTGTTCCAGATGCCGAATTGGAAGAAGAAATCAAGCAATGGCGCCTGGAAAACAATATTCCTGCCCCCACCGAGACCAGCGACGATGACGACAAACCCATCATCATCAAGCCACGAAAAATGGTGGTCGAACGTGCTAACAGCGACCCAAACATGAGCCACATCATGAGCCTTCGAGAAAAGATTCTCAAGAACCGAGACCAAAGAGTGGCCTCTTTGAGGCAACTGAATGCCTGAGCAGCCATCTCTGCCCACCAAACCTTGGAACGAATGTACAATACTCTCATACACCTAGAATACTAAATTGAACCATTATGTAACACTACAACACTTATCCTCGCAATACTCTAAAAACTGTGCATATTTATGAGGTAGGTATAAACATTAAGAGCCTTCTCGGATATGGTCTGGCTGCTGCTGAACTCGGGCATACAGACAAACTGAAGTTAGCTGGGCGCTACACGGCGCAGCAACGGTCTGGTTTGGGCTTCGTCATGACTCGACTCGTGATTCTATCGTGCCCCTGTGTAATGTGTCGGTACTACTTGACCCACTTCCGAAGGACGTTGTGCCTTGCACTCATTTCTTTCAGGATCACAGCGTCGCTCATAAGAGCGAGTATGCATGCAAGGAAATGGTGCTCATGGGCACCCACACCTTGTACATGTGCGTAAAGCGGTCCATCTTGCCGCTGCCGCTCTCTGGTTGCCCCCCACCAATAGGCACAAAGTATTCAGCTATGCTCGGGGACTTGATCGGGAGATGATACGGTACGGTACCGTACCGGTAGATCGAGATTGGAGTGACTGTCGAATCGAATCGAATCTGCGTCCCACGGTTGTTGGCCACTCCATGCTCAAATGGTTTTCTGTCAGCGTACTTTCGAAAGCTACCTTTCTGACACTCTTGGTATATAGGCGGCGCGAGCGTCCCCGGCCGGCCAGAAGCCATTCGAGCTGGGATATGGGGCCCAGTGAGAGTCCAAAAGCAAAACAATGTAAATAACAAATTCGACTCACCAGGAGCTAAAAAAGTAAACTAACAAATAACGAAAGCAATGAGGTGAGAGGCGCATATGGAATTTGCGTACAACCAGTGCAGGGATGGATCAAGCTTGTAGCCCTCCTCAACATCTATATGAGCGGGAAGTCAGTAGCTGCCTTGGTTGTAGAGTAGCGCGTAAAACAATAAGGGCTTTCTGGTACTGTAGAAAATTGTATGGGGCATCTAACTGCTGTTTGGAAGGCCTCAAAAAGAGTGGAATAAAGTGCTGCTAGAACGTCGCAGTGCAAGGCTTGGTGCCAAACCGATTGAGAGTTAAGCAGATGTATACCTACTCCAGCTATCTGTAGCTGCTCAAGCTGGGGGTGAACTGTGTATTGCAAATATCCAATTGCAAAACGTTGTTTTTGTTGACTGTTGGCAGTCGTTATTTTACTGTTGTACTGGGACTTTAAATAAATTTTTTCTAAAATAAAAATGCAAAAATGAATTCATTTTAATGTAAAAATATGATGTTTTTGACATTTTTACCAAACATATTTATATAGCTACATTGCACGACAACATTACGCGACTCTATTACAAAATTTATTGATAATTCTAACACATAAGAACATAGCTCTAACACATCAGATCACAGCTTGACCCACAAAATATAGTTCTAATCGGAAAATGTAGCTCTATTCGCAAAAAATGTAACTCTAACGCAATGATTATACTTCTATCACCAAAAATAAGTTTGGCAGCTAAATTGATGGCATAATACAGACAAATTCCACGTATGACACGACAATAAATGCATTTCACATGACAACAAAAAGTAACATACATTGGAATAGTTCTGTGACGCGTCTCACCAGCACAGAAATCTTACACAGTTCTAATATGTACAACAACAAATCTAAAACACATGATAATGTAGTCCTAACACAAACGCCAAAATGTAGTAGACTCTTTAACGTACCAAACTGATCAGAAACTCTGACAGCATGCAAAATGTAGTTCTATTACACTCCTTGACCCAAAGCCAAATTGCACATGATATAGTACTTCAAAGCTAAAACGCGCGAAGTCTAGCTCTCTCACTCGTGTAAAACATAACAAAGATAATGTATATCACATGATAATAAAGCTAATAAAACACACGAGAATAGTTCTCTCACATGTGTACTAGAAGAGACTCACTAAGAATACAACAACAAAGCTAAAATACTCATCAGAATGTATTAGTAAAACTGACATGCGAGAGGGCACTCTAATACTACACAAGGAAGCTACTCTAAAAACCAAACATGTAGCTCTGTCATGATATAGACACAACTAAAACGCGAGAAAAAGTATTTTTTCATGGATCTAATACACATCATATGAGAAAGTAGCTCTGCAACGCGTGTGTGTGACATTTAGAAAGAGAACTGAAATTTGCATAAAGACAATCTAAAATGCACAAGAATATAATTCTAACATGCAAGAAGAATGTAGCTGTAACACACGAAAATGTAAGACATAGCTCTAATGCGCGAAAACAGCAAAAATTCAGCTCTAACACACAAAAGTCTAGCTCTAATAAGAAAAATGTAATTCTATCACGCGACATTGAAGTCGTTTGCATTACATAATACAGCAATCTAAAATATGCAAGAATATAGCTTTTGCTTTTGCACAAGTGTGATACGACAACCAATGTATTCACAAGACAATAAAGCAAAAATACGCGACGAGAATATATTTCTCTTACGTGTGTGCAAAAAGAGATTTCGCTGACATAGAAGTTTTGCTTAACAACAAAGTTGAAATATGCGAGTATGAATTTCAAAAACATAAGAGTCGAGCTGTAACAAGCAAGAACTAACTCAAACACGCGAAAACTAACTCAAACACGCGAGAAAACTAACTCAAAGCTCTAAACACGCGAGAATCTAGCTCTCATACATAAGAATATAGTACCTGTATTATGCGATAATGAGCTGCATGACATACGAATACAACTATATTACGCAAATTTAAGATTACTTTGCAATTCCATATGACATAAAATTACATTCGTGATAAAGTTATGCTGTGTGGCTAATTAGCAACATTACGCGAAATTTTGCAAGAAATTTTGCACGAAATTTCACGACATTTTGCACACATTTTTCACGACATTTTTACACGACTTTTGCACGACATTTTTCACGAACTTTTTGCACGACATTTTTCACGACTTTTTGCACGACATTTTTGCACGACATTTTCGACTTTTACGCGATTTTACGCGACTTGTTTACGCGACTTGTTTACGCGACTTTTTAACGACTTTTTAACGACATTTTTACAGACATTTTGCACGACGTTTTTGCATGACGTTTAAGAGAATACTCACAATGATGTATTTCATTAATTTATTTAGACAACTTAGCCAGTGGTATTGGGGTCCCCTTGGGGTATACCCACTGGCGAAATGAATGATTTTAATAGATCATTAAATTGTTTTTTAGTTTCTCAATTAAAAATATTTAAAAATTGAGCAAAATTAAAGGATTTATCTTTTTTATTTTAGATATATTTTAATAATTGTGAATAATATTAGTTTGTAGAAAAATTGTGTATATAACAGAAAAATATTTTAATATTACATAAATTAGTTGTATTATTATAATCTATTTATTTTATATATTATATATTTTGTTACTTTTACTAGTTTAATTAGTTTTATTGCAATAATTACTGAATCATTGTTAAAAAACAGATAACTTGCAGCTGTTTTCTGAAGCACACTTTAGATTATAGGAATTGCATTTGAGTCTGACATTGTTTTGGATTCGGGCACTGAAATAACATGTTGTAGCAGATAGTAGCAGTGCTATGATTGGCAGCAACGAGGATGGGTCAATCACGAGGCGACCCATGTCCCTTAACTTCATATGTTGACTTTTATAATATTTCCCTGGCTGGTGGGGTCAAATCTCTCTGCCCCCATGTTATCAGTTTAGGGCACCCGGTAGCAGCACAGTAGACAAGTGGTCCGCCAAATTGATTCTATTCAAAAATTGCATACGGTACGTTTTCCCTGTTTTCTTGTGTTCCCGCGCGTCCTTGGTGGCAAGTTCGCGACGATGCTTCTTTCATCTCGGAAGAGGCAGAACCCATCACCCAGATCCTCTTCTTGCTTGTCCTCCATTTTAAATTCGTCATCGCGAGACTCGTCGCTCCGGCGAAGTTAATTGAGATAACTGAGAGAATGGTGACGCTACGCCCAAGAAAAGCCAAAGAGGAGGCAGCTGCCCCCGCCGCCAAGAAGGGATCAACGGTGAAGCACAACAAAAAGAAGGCACCTGCAAAACCCAAACCTCAGCCATCAGCAACAGAAGCAGGAGATGATTCCAGTTTACAAGAATTTTTGACGACCAAGGTACCCGATGAATCCAAACACGAAGACATTACTTGGCTCTACCACGCCATCCAAACTCGTGCACCCGATTGTCCACCCGAACTACAAGGTACAGCGACACTGGCATTTGGAGGATTCGATTACGAAACCAAATCCAAATGTTCCGGTCGATGGTCTCGGATGAGCATCATGGTCAACAAGACGGGTCTCACGTTCATGGTATCGGGAATGAAGGACGGAAAATATCTCTTGGAACACTTTGACAAGAAACAAATTGGAAGAAAGGTATCGTTGGGGAAATCCTGCATCCGATTTGCCTCATTGGAAACAGTCCATCGAAGCGTATTGGAAGAAATCATTCAGGCCGCTGCCGAGGCGACTATTTCGCCAGTGGCAACATCGTCGTCGTCGTAATGGGGGGAGCCAGCAAAAATCGACAATCTTCAAAAGATGAATCAGGATTGGCGGAGAAAGCGTTGTCAGGATACTCGATTGACTGGTAGATACAACGGCAAACGGAAGATCTCGTCGAGTCATTAAATATATTCCTGGTCACCGGAAACAACACGTCCACATCCTTTTGGAATTGATACTAATTAACGTCCTTATTACACAACAACACATGCCTCCTCGTCCCAACTGTCGAAAGCATTGCCGCTACTGCGAGCCTCACAGACAATGCACCCCGCTTCCCGGGAATCTTTCTGCACAAAGGGTGTAGTATCGAATGCAGTACAGCTTGTATTTTGAAACATCAGTCAAATCTGTCTTCAAGGTTGAAGGCAGATGCTTCATTTGAACATGTTGCAACAGAGCGACTTGAAGAGTGAGGCGTTCTGGCTAGCATAGCACAATGCTCCTATTTACAGCTAGCGGGGTCTTTGCAACGGCCCCAAAGGACATGGCCTGCATGGCAAGCACTTGGCTAGCTGACATTCCAATTGGAGATGCCTTGGTTGAAAAGTAGGCAAGATGGAACTATGCTGTCATTCCAGCAAGAGAGTTGTTGGTTGTAGGCAGTTGACCGCTGCCATGTGGTGCTGTGCATAGTAAGCTTGTGTAGAGCCTGAGAAAATGAATACTGTGACCTAAACCTAAAAGGAAATGAAAAGAGTAGCATTGGTTGCTCTTCTTTTGTGTTTCTGATCTGTTTGTTTTCTTTCTGTTATTTTGTTTCTACCTGTGTTTGGAGTTCTGTGACTTCTTTTTTTTTTTTTTAAGGGAGATCTGCCGCGGTGCTGTGTGATGGATGGATGATGACTTTTAAGGTGTAGCTACCAGGAAATGACAAGAGAGGTTGGGCTGCAGGATTGCTTGTCTAGCATGCGTAGCAGAGATCAGTCCAAACCTCGCCATCATTTGAAGGGGTGACATCCATGGGACAATCAGTATAAAGGAACACACCCCAACTAGATGCATCCACAGATAAGTCTGATTTCCATGCACACAAGTCTTGATTGAAGTTACGGGCACGGTTGAACATGCCTTTAACATCCGTAACACTGGTCACATCCCAACCCGAGACATCTTGGTTGAACACACTGGCTGCATTGAACATGTTGAGCATAGTTTGAACATTGCTTGTATCCCAGCCGGAAATATTCTGGTCAAAAGATGTGGCTCCTCGAAACATGTTTCCCATCGCTTGCACTTGGCTCACATCCCAGGCAGATAGCTCTTGATTGAATGAGCTGGCATGGTAGAACATGTTGGCAAGGTTTGTCACCTTGCTGGTGTCCCATCCTGAAATATCTTGGTCAAACATTGAGGCACCATAAAACATATTCTGAAAACTCACAACTTGACTAACATCCCATCCACCAATATCGTAGTTGAAGGTGCCAGCATTGTCATATCGTTGAGTGCTAAAAAGCTGCTCAAAGGACATTTCATGAAAGCACCAGTTGTAGATTGGACCATAGTCTAGCTCAGCCTCAGCAATGTTCTCCAGTCCTTCAAGCAGAGTTGTACGGGAATCAAAACAAAATCTTGAAGGAGAACTGCTTGGGATGCTGCTAGGGCTAGAACTGGGGCTGGTGGTGGGTGCTGGACTCGGTTCTGGAGAAGGGCCTGGTGTTGGCCCAACAGTTGGTCCAGGAGTAGGGCCTGGTGTTGGCCCAATAGTTGGCCCAGGAGTAGGAGCCATTGTTGGTCCAGGAGTTGGTGCAGGAGTAGGATGTGCTGTTGGTCCAGGAGTTGGACCTGGTGTGGGGTCCATTGTAGGGGATGCAGTAGGGGCCACACTAGGTATGATGCTTGGGATGCTGCTCTCAGTTGGAGAAAGGCTTGGTTGAACACTTGGCAACCCACTTGGAGTGCTTGATGGAATCAGTGATGGCGCATCTGAAGGGATTGAGCATGCATAGCAGAGGTGAGCCCAATAACCGTTCACTTTTGCCGGTGTGCTTCCATCAGTATCGCAAAGTGTAGTTGTCAACGTGTCTTCCACTTCACAATCTGAAGTATCACAAAGTGTATTTGTAAACATGTCTTCCACTTCACAATCTGAAGGAAGGTTTGATTGCCATGCACACATGTCTTGGTTGAAAGAAGCTGCATCCCGCATCATACCATACATACTTGTGACTTGGCTGACATTCCAACCAGAAATGTCTTGATCGAAGGATGAAGCCGAATTGAACATCTGGTCCATATTTGTGACTTGAGTCACATCCCAATTAGAAATGTTCTGGTTAAATGATGATGCAATTGAGAACATCTGACTCATGCTTTGGACTTTGCCAGTGTTCCAGCTTGAGATATCTTGATCAAAGGAGACGGCCATTGAAAACATCATCCGCATGCTGTTGACATTGCCCACATCCCAATTAGAAATATCTTGGTTGAACGTCTCTGCTCCATAAAACATTTTCTGCATGCTTGTGACCCTACTGACATCCCAGCCTCCGATATTTTCATTGAAAGAAGACAGCTCAGAATTGCTGAACAGTTCATCAAATGACATCTCATCAAAGCACCAGTGGTATGAAGGCCCATACCTAGACTCAGCAGTGGGAATGTCAATCAACGCAGCTTCAACCTCTTCACGGTTCTGAAAGCACTCATAGAGCTGGATATCACAGATTGGGTCCAACATGAAACTACTTCCATCACTGGAATCACTAATACAGGCGGTCTTGGTGATGACATCTTGCAGAGTTTCAGCCAAGTGACGATGTCCCTGGAGCCCTAGTTCTCCAGCTTTGGCATTGTCTTGGAGGGACGTAATGGAGGATTCTGCAAAATCAGCCTTCTCGTACAGGTGGTTGATATCATCAATGTTGTACTCAAGGAGAATCTTCATTTTCTCCAACTTCTTCATGAAGTCGGTTTCCATGTTGTCGATAGTTGTCTTGAGATGGGCAACTTCCCCTTGCAGATCTTTCACCACTGCAAAGATATCATCCTTTTTTGAATCTTTTGAATTGGTGATGGGAGATGCCACTAAGCAACAACAGCAGTGAGTGTGGCGGGGGCATAATATTGTGACCCCCCTGCTGGCGCAACTTCACTGTTCTCCACTTACCACTTGAGCCGAAGAAGCTAACCCAAAGACAGGCAAGAAGACACGCTACTAATTTCATCGAAAGTCTTTGATTGGAAGCTTTATAGATTTGGATTGTTTTTGTTTCTCGTGTGAGGTTGTTTTATGACGAAGTGGTGCCCTGTGTCGCTTGGACGGCGGCGTACTTCGTCTTGCAACCAAGAAGGTTCAGCCTCGGGGCGGTCTTCAACCAAGTCATTGCTTGCTTTCTTTTGTGTACCAAGACCTCATTGCTTTCTGTGTACTTGTACATCTATACCAACTTCTACATGTACCGCAGCAGTGCTTGGTCGCCCAAAGCTGCTTGGCTCCAAAGGAGTTGTCCCCTTTTTGCTTGGCTCCGAGAACTTTGATACTGCTTTGCCAAACACGACCGACTTACATACTGGCTGGCTGATACCGGTAGCACACTCGTTCGTTACGGTGCATACAAGACTTCGGTCAAATACATCGGCTCAAGTTTTTCCCAGCTATGTCCCGTCTCGGCATTGCTTCTCGCTTTCTCCTGCTACCAAGGTTAGCTACCGATAGTAGCTCTATAGTATTGTTGTCTCGGTTGGCTGGAGTAACGTGGGAAAGCAGGTTGAAGGAAATGTCCACTGGCATTCGCTGCTCCTACCAGTTTTACTATGCGTGTACGACCGTACCAATAGAGCATCAAACACAATGATGTGTACCGGTATGCCGGTGTTTCTGTTGTGACAAAGATGGACTCGGATAGCTAGCTAGTATCAGTGTGGTCTCAGTGACCAAGCTACATGGAATGATCCGGAGCTGCTCGATTAGATGCTGGTGCCTGACGTCTCCAGAACAATTCTGATCGCCGCTTGGTTTATGTGTTTGTCAAGTTCTATGCCAAAGCACTGCCGATTGTTTACCACGACAGGAGCTCGAAGTCTCTCTTCTTTTGTTGCCAATCTCAGCCGGTCTCATCGTTTTCTGCGGTGTTTCTAGAATGCATTTCTGGTAGGCGTGAAACGTCAACCCCCTCACTCAGATCCACCAAAAAGGTTTCCTCAGACTGGGCCATCTAGCCAGTAGCCATAGTCTACGACTTTGATTACAAAAATTACAAGACATCCCAAAAGAAAGCATATCCTGCAACCAAATTGAATGAACCCAACAAGGAGAGTAAAAACAAAGCCGCCATGTTCATCCAAAACAACCGACTCTGTGGATGAGAATATCGGTCTCTGGGATGACTGCCCGCAGAGTACCCTCGTGTCCACACAATTCGAGAATACCACCACAGAGCACAGTTGATTGCCGTCAAAATAGGAAAATTAGTAGCGGAAATCAAGCTCATGAGGATATAACCAGGAAAGGATTCCATAATGCCTTGGTGAGATCGTTGGACCATATTAAACGTTCGAGCGTGCTTGGATGTGCCTTGCGCATAGAGATTGGGCAATCCGTACCGTTCTTCCACCTCCGTTTCGCCATCTTTTCGTGCCAATTCCATGCACTGTGTGCGGGCACGTCCCACGACGAGAAAGCCGTAAAAGAGCAACCAAAAAGTCGTCAACACCAACAGACCAGTCGTCAATCCGAGGCCTCGCGGGACACCCAAGGGAGGTGTTTCTTCTAGCAAAAATGCCAGCGAAGTCTCTGTCAAGAGCCTGCGTTCCACATAGCTTCCTGCCAGAGTTAATGCAAAGGGCAGACCCAAGCGTTTCACGAAGCCCACAAACCTCGATCCCATGGTCGGTGTTTGTGTGGAAGCAGCTTTTTGATTGCTGGATGTATTTTGTATTTTGGATGGCTTCAGTCATGGGAAAAGAGCCTTTTTTATCAAACATGAAGGTTTCGTATGTCATACAGTACTTACTAACCACGTTTTGAGAGAATAAGTGTTTTTTAGATGGTTCATAATGCTTTCTACCGTATGTGCGGTACCGGTAGTACGGAAGTTTGTTTCGCGGTTCCGCACCACTTCCGGTTGGGTTGCACGGCTTCCCATTTTCACGCTGCCTCATCACCACAGCAGCCACAGATGCTTGTTTGTTACATGTTTGTGTTTGTCACCATCCACCAACTTGAATGAGCCACATCAGCGCCATTCGTCATTTTAGGAAAGGAGTGTCGTGCTGTTTTCATTGCCCATCACTCTCACCATCAAACAAAAAAGTGTTTGGCAGAATTTTCATCCTTTCGTGGGAGCGGTAATTTTCGATAGCCTCAGCGGTTGGTTCGATAAATCCCATCTCCCTCCAACCAAGTTAAACAGCTCTACCATCCTCAGTCCAGCCAGTTGCTTTTTGAATTATCAAGAATGGGCAACACTCATGTCCACGAAAAAGCATGTGGGGATTGTCCCGCCCCATCAGTGGTGGCCAAACAGCATGTGCATGTCATATCAAGTGTTCGATCCGTGGACAAGGCTGAGACTGCCAAGGCATGTAAGAACAATTCCGATAACACCAGCACTGACACAGCAACCACCACCAAAAGCAGTATCGCAACAACAACAGAAAATACGCCCGAAACTGAGTCTACCAAAAATGTCAGCAGCAGTACAACCTCGATTTTTTTGAAGACTATCAAGAGTACTCTGCAAGATATCTTTGATCCTGTTGAACCGGAACGATTGCCGCCCAAACGGCATCCTCCTAAGCAACTGATTTATGGCTGCCAAACAGCCGAGCAACATTTTGACTATATCGATGCCATTTGCGATGAATCTGTCCACTGGCACGGAAAGGAAGGACTGGATGCCATGGGATTTGAATTCAGACTTGTCCATCACCCAAAAACATGCACCTGTCCGGATAATATTCATGCCAACAATAAAGATGACGATGATTTGACGGATAGTGAAGCAGAGGATGATGAAGAACAGGGTTACATGGAGGAAAGCGACAATGATGAGGGCGACAACGATGATGGGTATGGGCAATTTGACGATGAAGATTCAGATAATGGTGCAGGACAAGCCCAACGCATGAGTGAGGCCTCTTCTATGGTCCCTGTAAAAGAACAGGAAGATTACACATCTACAATGGTACCACTCAATGATAGCATTGCTACTGCGACTATTGGTGGCCCCGGTTCTATTGCATCTGCATCTCCCTATGCATCCAGTGTTGTGTCACGCAACACTTCGACGGCCAGTCTCTTTTCTTTGGCTACACACAACACAGACGCAGAATTCACTTTGGGCACCCTGGAAGATGGCAGTAGTCTACGGCGACAACGACATGGAAGTCGTCGCTCGTCACTGGCTCGAAGGAGTGCCCGCTTTCCCTTGGCTACCATATCTTCCCAGCAAGCCGTAGCTGTCATGGAACAGGATTCTTGTGCATTACGACTGCATCATGTGCAATCTGGCGGGACTCTAGTGACACCAGAGAACCATCTGCAGTTCATACCCGACGGAAAATTCTATGACGAATTGGCACGGTTCTGTATGGAATACTCACAACAAATTATGCTCGAAGAAGCTGACTTGGAATGGGTGCCCATTCCAACTAACAGCACAACTGTTCTTGATGACAAAGCAGAAGAAGAAGAGAACGACAATAAATGCAAGTACAATGCCATGGTCAGTCGGTCCTACATGGAACGAAGGAGACAACGGCAGTCAGGAGCTTGCAGTGCTGAAAGCAAAGAAAAACAGAAAACACTGGTGATCATCACTGGAAAAGGGCAAGTCCATGCGGGAATCTTCTCAAGACGGCATTTGCTAGTCACCAGCATGGAAGCTGCTACGTCGCTTCCCTTTACCCGAGGAGCACAAGAACGTGGGATGGGCATTATCATGCTGGATCCAAATGCGCTGGGGTACAGAATGGGGATGGACGTCGTGGAGAACAGTTTGAAGTATCTTTTCTTGGAGGATGGTGCATGCAATGATGAGGAAGAGATATATGTGTTGGGGCATAGCATGGCAGGGGCCCAGATTGTGAGGTTCTTTACAAGCAACTCTTGCTCTCACAGTCGTCCAGCCACACCATCATCCTCGGTTAGTGATGGCACCAGTAGTGCAGCAGCCAACGGTGTGACAACGAGTGATAAGACTACAGCTGAAGAGGGAGGAATTGCCAGATTATTGAAAAAGATTAGAGCCGTGGCCTTTACCGACTCCAATCACAACATAAACTGGACAAAGAGGCATCCAGAGTTGACTGAGGTGCTAACAGGACCAAAATCGCTTTACATCAAATCCCACAAAGTTCACGAAAAGGCCAAGTCATTAGGAGAAAAGCATCACGATTGCCAGTTTTGGAGGCATCGATTTGGGGATATCAAAACTCTTTGGGCCGGAACACATGAGCATGCACTAACAAACTACACAGCTCGCGCACATATTTGGGAACATTTTGACACCTTTTTGAAGGAACAGGAGGAGGATCAGCAATAGGAATTGTTCCACCCAATTTGGTACGAATAATGGCGAAGGCTCGCAGAGACAGCGGAAACTGACGCCAACCAACCTTCAGGCAACAAAAAGAAGATTATAAAAACTAGCTAAGCCTCTCGTAGCAAAGAGAATTGTTCATCAATTCCCGCGATCTTTCTGTCCTGATTGTCCCGAATGGTCATCTAGCACTAACGCATGCCCCGTGCTGCCCTCCAATTACGCCGCGGTTTGGGTTTCAGGAGCTAAAGCCAAATGACTGCCGAAATCCTGGGCTTCAGTGTAAGCTGGGTGGATCGTTTGTCGTGTATAAGGGGGGATTAGAGTAGGTGGATTATTTCTGTTTCAAAAATGTAAATGGATCATGAATCAATTCGCCGCCTAACAGTGGCCCGTGTTTTTCATCAGACAGTAATAATCGTTGCAAAGGGTCGGGAAGGGTCCGAAAAAAGACCCGCATCCAGATCATTCACCATGGGCAATGCTTCCTTCGAAACGGCCTCTTCCGAGACAACCTCATCTGAGGCAGCAACAGCTCCAGTACCATGTGCAGCGTCCACTCTTGCGGACACTCCAATATGTAAGCGCGCCGATAGTACATCAGGGGCCTTGCTTGGTGGATATTTACCTTCTATGGATTGAGACAAGGAAATAAAGCGGTATGTGTCGTCAGCCATTTCTGGTGGCTTCTTTTCTGGTGGCTTTCCGCTGCTGATCGGCTGCGTCAAACTGCCATCCTCGTGCTGCCGAAAGTCATCGCCCATCAAAACTCTGTTCAACGCCTTTCTCATGCTTCGACCATATCGCGGCATCAGGTTTCGCATCACACCAAACCCAGCTTCGTGAAGAGCATAATTGTTGGGGAAGTCCAGCCTCGCCTTGATGACCGTATCCAAGCCTCTCGAGTTTGTAAAGGCCAGCCTGTTGTCGGGACAGTCCGTCAAGCACTCTAGCAAACGGCAGCCGTGCAGTTGCACGCATGATTGTTTCATGTGGTCGTTCATGGCTGTGACGACAGCGGGGATGCCTCCCGATAGCGCGACGAGTCGTTGATTGTTTGGGTGGTGTAAGGCAAGAATACCAAGTGCCTTTAGGCAGCATTGCACATGCCCTGGATCAGCGGAATGACTCTTGTTGCTCAGAGAAGCCAAAATAGCCATGATGCCATCAGCCTCGGCAATCAAGGTCTTGTGGAAGTCAAGGTCATGGGCAATACCGGCAAGGGCATCCACAGCTGCCTGCTGCAGCTCAAGGTCGGAAGGGTGACTTTTCAAGGCCTGACAAACCGCTGCCAGAGCTCCATTTTCAGCGAGGAATACCTTGTTGCCATCATGATTGTAGGCAAGGGCCAGAACAGCCCTGCACGCTTGTCCCTGTACCCCCACATTGGATGCATGGTGATTCATCGCGCCCAGAACTGCTGATATCTCTTTGTACTGGACGCCAGCCATGATCTCTTCACGGGAAGCGTCATGATGTATCAAATTACTCAGCGCGGCACATGCCGACTCTTGTACTCCATCATCCTGTACATGTTCTTCCATGGCAGATAGAACACTTCCCAAGCCACCCTGCAGGACAATTGACCGGAGGATGTCGGGATTGGTATGGCAGGCAATGTTCGCCAGAGCCGCACAACCGAGTTCCTGAACACCAGGGTCAGAACAATGGGCATCCATGGCATTCACAACTGCAGTGACAGCTCCCGATTGGGCCGCCAACAGCTGACTGGGCTCGTGATCAAAGACAAAGTTGTGGAGAGCGCCACACGCCGCTTCCTGGACGTCAGCATCCTTGCTGTGAAGACGCATTGCCCCTAGAATGGCAGCAAGTCCATCCGATTCTGCCAGCCATTCTTTGTGATTCTCATGGTTGTATACCAAGGCACCGAGAACCCTGCAGGCGGCTTCTTGCACTTCAGGGACATCCTTTTGGAGGACCATGGCATCCAGCAGAGCCTCGATTCCTCCGTTTAGCACAACCCTTGAGCAGAATTCCGCTGAATCCACCGCCGCACTGTGCCATTTATGGCACATTTGAATAACACGAGTAGGAAAGGGATTTCTTTGAAGCAAACTTATCTGCCACTGTAACTCTGATAGTGGGTTTGCAATTATCTTGGGCACGCCCACTTCCGGAATAGGGTCAACAGGAACCGAATTGGGATGCTTTCTCCAGTCCAGTGGCAAAACCAGCTCCTTGGGAACTTGAAGTTTTTCCTGATCTTCTTGATTCTTGAGGAAATCAACTTCCCTTTGGAGCTTTTCCATCCGACGACGATGCTGATCGTCGCAGGCTTTGATGTGTTGCTCTAACATGGCGAGGGGCCCATCGACAGGCTCAGTTTCCTGGACGACGGGGAGAGGCGTGTTGGAACTCTGCACATCAGATTCTCTTCTAGATACGCCATTTGAACCACTGAGTCTACTACTGGTTGCCGTCGACGTTGTGGTGATCACAGAACCAGAGCTCGGAGGAAGGCTTCCGCCTGCAGAATCATGGTACGGAAATAGCGTGGGTATCATTCTTTCAATCGGAAATTCAAACTCGATGTAAGACAACGACATCTCTGACAGCTCATCATCCCCAACATCCTTGCCCACAGGGGCTTCAGTTGGGATTGTCATTTGCCTGGAGGGTTGTTGGAAAGAGCGCAATAGGCAGAAGCTTTGTAACGACTGAGACTGAGCGATGTGGGCTTCGGCTTTCTTCAGCTTCCAGCTTCGAAGGTGTCGTCCTGTCGTGCATCCAAGCGAAGCCAGAAGCTCCACACCGGGACTCACCTACGGGACAGGAACTGGCTGCCAGCGGGAATTATAAAGGTAGTTGCGGTAAATAAACGGTTAAGGTTACGTTTTACTCTGCATGTTTCTATTAAAACGATACTTTACCACAACTACCTGAACTCCAAAGTTTGTCAAGGACGACGTGTGATATGTTACGAAGCATTCTCCGAATCGAATCGAATCAATCGAACCTCCCTCAAACACCACAGGAGCGTTCCTCAATCGTGCATGACTTTAAATCCGACCCTAATTTAGGGTCGGTTTGGGGGAATCTGCCCTTAAATATAGGGACGGTTTCGAAACCCGACCCTAAATCGAAACCCGTCCCTAAATTAGGGACGTTTTTTCAGAAACCGTCCCTATTTTTCAGAAAACGTCCCTATTTTTAGGGTCGGTTTCGAAACCCGACCCTAATATTGGTGCGTTTTCAATGTATTTACCAGGCAGTCCCGTTTCTATTTAGGGACGTTTTTCAAACCGAACCCTAAAATGAAACCCGACCCTAAATTAGGGACGGTTTTTCAGAAACCGTCCCTATTTTTCAGAAAACGTCCCTATTTTTAGGGTCGGTTTCGAAACCCAACCCTAAAGGGAATCCGACCCTAAATCCGTCCCAAATAATAGGGTCGGTTTTCGTTAAGACATGCACGATTGAGGAACGCTCCTGCAGATAGATCTCATCGATCTATCTTCCTGAAGTGCATGGTTGGCCCTGGAGGGCTTTCCCACTTTACTAAACCTATGGACCTTCATCTGTCCATTCATTTGCTCCGTCCCATCGCTCCTTGCATTCATCTCTTCGACCTAACTTCCTATCCTTTGTAGTTGCATCATCTAGACGACCATTGTCCTCGTTCCTCGTACACCTGGCCATCTGATGATGATCGGATCACCATCTGAATCTGACCCTATTTTAGGGTTGGTTTCATGCACGATTGAGGAACGCTCCAGCAACAGCAGACACAACAGTAGCTACCCGGTACCGGTACGTACCGTCATTGGTACCAAACACACCTTCTAGCTAGCCAGCACAAACGAAAGAAACGACCTGTAGTACCGGCAGAGCCGTGTCCTGTTCTCAGCCGGTAGATGCTAGTGGGCTGCGCGACAGCACCATATCTCCCCTCATCTCCTCGTGAGTAAACAACAGCAACAACAATCAAACGGTCGAACCTTGCAACAACAACAGCGCAACAACAACAACAACCATCATGTCTTCTTCATCTGTTTGGGTTCAGCTCTACTATGAAGATGAACGAAAGGGCCGACCCACTTCAGTGGAAAAACCGGCTAATGTGGAGGAAAGCGACTGGAACATTGATGCCTTGGCAAAGGCCGTTAAGAGCGAGAGACGAGTCGATCTCAACCACTGTGATTCCGCAGCTCTTGTGGTGTACGGTACCCCCCAGACACCGAACAACCTTTCTCTGAAGACAAGGCTATTGATCCTGATGACCCTGTGCACACCGGCACTGCCTCCAGGCATCCCTTGATTATGGTGGCACCACAGCCGCAACGAGATGGTGAGAATAATGTTGGATTTTTTTCATTTGTTTATTGTTAAATTTATTCAATTCGTCCTTTGGCTAACAATTAACCCTGCACTCTTTGATTACTGTGGGTATATTATCGATTGGTTTGCCTTAATTTTGCCATCCTCATTGTCCTTCGCTAACTCCTGCCAAAAGGTGAGAAAATTTTTTGGCACCTGATAACAGGGACAATCGAGCGAAACTACGCCACTTCTGGCAGTCGTCATGAACTCTTCAGGCGCGCTGGAGGTGGTTACTACCCCCGAGGGAATGGAGCCTGACAATGCTTTTGCAGTCGGTCGACACCCAAACGATGAAAGCAAGTGTCTTCTATCTGTATCAGTCGTTTTCCCCACTTTACAAGCCGCTGAAGCCTTCGTTGTGAGAGTCGACAATTACATCAGCAAGGCACATGGCATTTCCTATCAAACAAGCTTCACTACAACGCAAGTGAAGCCCTACGACAAACGTCGGCTTGTCCTTGAAAGCGATTATGTCCCCAATGAATCGGACGGGAAGGCACCACACGATTCGCCGGTTTGGAATGTGGAAGTGTCGTCTATGGACATATCTATACTATCACCAACAACCATTTTCTTCAAAAGTGATACCGCCTACATGTATCAACGAATCGAAACAGACGCAGCTTTTGCACGATGTAGTCCTGAAGGTGCACACATTTTTCCGAAGGCAAAATGTGAGGGAAAATACAAATGGCTGGACAAGCCAACTTTCAATAGGCTGGCTTTGTCCAGAGACGGCCACAAGAACTATGCTGGGACTGCAAATGGCCGAGGAGTAACTGCTGAAACCAGCGCCTTGGTAACGCTTGAACCAACTACAACAGATCAGATCAAAATGGATCATGCTACCTTTACAAGAATTTCAAATCGTCTTTGGTGCCGAAACAACTCGGTGGCCAGAAGCTGGAGAGCTTTCCTGAAGGAAGCTGTACAGATGGTCGAAGAGGGTGATCAGGTTTTCTACTCACCAATCTACCTCTATTGTGAATCCAATAGAAAGTTTGTCATGAAGTTTGAACAACAGCAAAATTCCAACAGCACTTTACAGGATGTGTGTCTGACTGCTATTCCTGGAGTTGAGGATCATACAACCCTTAATACTTGGAATGAGCAGGAAAGAACAGTGGCAGTGAGTGAAATCATGGAGTGCCTTCTATGGTGGAGGTGGAGCTATAATGATACACGCCGGATTTGGAGAGAAATACCCTAGGGATGGGGCTTGAAAGGACTGCTACCAGCCACTACCTTGCGATCTTCTCATAAAACCCAAATCCAATTCCAATTCCATAGCCTGGTCAACGCTTACTCAGTGCCTTGAAACAATGATGGCCAAAACCAACTACGCCCTCTTCAGCAAGCTCGAGGAATTTGCTGTGCCCTTGCCTGACGACTTGCGTTTGGGCTCCACAGCCGCCTCCTCCTACATAGGCGGACAACACGTCATGCCAGAGAACTTCGTACCCAATGAAATTCATGTCATCTGTGGCAGAGGCAAAAAGATTTTTGAACACAAAGGAAATGAGCGCTTCCGCAACCTGATAAAGGAGCATCTGGAAAGCTACAAGGCAGCACACTCCAAGGTTCAAAAAACTGTTATAGTTTCAGCAGTCTATGATACGCAAACCGAAGGTGAAGGTGCCTTTGTCAAGCACAACTTCAGAACTCGGAGATGGGTTGTCGTAACCGAGTATGCTGCCCGTGAGAAGATCTCTCAGTGCTTTCGAGACTACCTTCAAGACAAGTTCAATCCAACCGAAGGCCGGCTCAAGGGGACAGTGGCCGAAACAGAACCGCTCAAGAGAGCCTTGACGTCTTATCCATGCTTCAATCAAAGGCCCAGGTTTGATCGAGCCCGTACTGTCCCATTGACAAAGCTCCACAAAGCTCCAGACCTCGTCCGTTGGCACTTCATCCTATGATGCGTACAGTGAATTGCTCAGTTTCTCGAAGTCAGTCTCGACCTTTACTCTCACAAGGAAATGACACTCATCCTGATGGCTTCGAACAATCCCAATCCGATGACTTGGACACCCTTTTCTTCTACCCTGTCGACGTGGGAGATCTCGATCTGCAGTGAAATCAAAGTGGTCAAGAAATGAGGCGAATGTGAAGATACGAAGATGTTACCAGGGCTGCAAAGTCATAGCCTGTACCCGCAGTAAAGTTCCTCTTTACCATTAGTTTTTGTAAGCAAATTCATATTATCACCCGTCTCATTAGGCGCACACAACGCCGGTCTCTGGATGGGGTTGCCGCTCGGCGAATCCGAGATAAGACAGCAGAAATGAGGTGGCTACGCTGCGAGTGGTTAGCACTGTTTGACGGTCGCAGCAAAGCCAAGGCAACGAGGTTGGTAGGGACTCACAGCGGAACAAACCTGGGAACCATCCCTCAATGTTGATCTGCAGTTGTGCTGGGGTGCTCGAACAGAGAATGTGCCCCCAATCCCAAGACCCAGCTTCGAGCGATATGGGTGCGTCAAACTCGACCGCCGCTGCATTGTGCGCTGAGGTCGTCTCGATCTCCGAAGGTTGCCACCATGTTGAATTGTCTACACTAGGAGGTGCAACTCCAAAAGGAACAATACTCGGCGAGATGCCAGTGGCTTCATCCAGGAATAGTACGGTAGCCTCGCGAGATCGTGCACGAATTCGCTGATGCTGTACGGCACGGTAATCATTGATGTGCTTCTTTATAGTTTGATCGCTACATGAAGATGTAAGCGGCGACCAATGAACATGTACGGCCCCAGAAACAGGTGGCCGCATTTATGACAGATGCACAAATAAAACATGCAGTTGAACAAAATCAACTCCTCAAACAGCCTTGAAAGACTTCTCTTCATTCACTTCTTCGCTTGTGTTGCGGTGAGGAAAGCATTCTTTGAATGCTCTTGGCTTGCGCCCAAAGTGGTGCCATGATAGGGTAGACCATGTAGACACCCAAGAGGACAAAGGAATGCACAAAGAGCATGTAGGAGGTAAACACAGTTATGATCAGCATCATGACGAGAAAAGGATTTCCAGAAACGTAATTGACAATCTTCTTGGCTCTCCATCCAGTGGGACCGGCTGGGTTGTTGGGGTCCATGTGCATGTCCCACTTTCGGTTGGTATACACGGGCTTTCTTAAATGCAAGTGGAAACCAACGTGTTCGCATCTTTGTCCATCTTCCCCAGAATCGTATGTGGCTTTAGATATGCGAATAAGATCCAGGGGGTAGAGGGCGGCTCCATTGAAGGCCGATTCAACTCTGTAGAAGGCTCCCTGATCAGCTGGTGCCCGATCAGCACGCCTTATTTCCGCTTGGAGAAAAGGGGAGAGTGAATTACAGGCATTCCTCCATCGCTCGCCCTCAGGCATTAGTGCACAGAATGATTCATGTAGACTCAAAATGCGGTGGTTCGCAAGAGTGGCCCAAGCCCGAAAAGCGCAGAAATCATAAGGGATTGCTTCAGTTCCCCAGGAACCAGCCAGGAGCTGGCGTCCCGAACAGGCAACAGCATTCTCAGGTCGTTCTCCCAGACTGTGAAGGACTCCAAAGGGACTGAGTGAGACAGCCATATCAACATCCAACACCAACATGTGACTGTAGTCTTCGTACAGAGTGTTGTCGAGGTCGGTGATGTAGTCTACCATTCGTTGACGGTAGACGTCCATATCTCCGGTAGCTGATGAGTGGGCGAAATCTTGCTTCTTGTTGGGATTGTCTCGGTGCAGTTTTCCTAGCTTGCAGTCTTTGGCTTCTGCACATTCCATCAGGTCAACTCGATACCCGAGATCTGCTTCGGCAGCCCACTGTTTGAACACTTCACGAGAACCATCGGAACTGTCATTCTCAAAAATCACAACTGATAGATTGGAAAAGAAACGATGGAGGGCATCCATGTTTTCCCTCAAGGGTTTGATTTTGTCCATGACGTCCCTGCCCAAGACAGCCACTGCGAGGCCAGCCTTGGGGTCTTGCGCATATCCGAGGCCCTTGAGGACGGATCGGACATCTTGCTTGCTGGTGCTTGAGATAGCACCTGCACTGAGGAAATCCCATTGGCTCTCTGTCAGACAAAGAGGAAGGTGTTGACGGTCATCACTGCTACTGGTTCCCAACCGGAGCGCTGGAGTCCAGCTTTTGCGAGGGAGATGAATGTCATGCACATCTTGGTCGAGGCAGAGACCCTCCATTGCAGATGCCAAGTCAGCTGTGTGGTAGACCCTGTAGCTGAACCAACCAAAGGGGTACCATAGCCATCCGGGATGAATGATGGGGAGGGAAGTGGTGGTGTTAAGAGGGATGGCAATCGCCAGAGTCATGACAAAGCTCATGCCATGCGGCGACAGCAAAAACGACCGGAGTTTGCGTGCCCAGGACCGAGATTTTTGGGGAGAAGCGCCCGTCCACTGTGATATTCGCAGCGACCATGGGTCATTATAGTCAACAGTTTCGTCGTGAGGGTATTTGCAATGTGTCAAGATGCAGGGGGCAAAATACACGGCAGTCATGAGCGACAAGATAGCGATGGGTGCATTTGAGATCCGCAGAAGGGCATCCCAGAAGTTTCGGATGACAAGAATATTTCCAAAAAGCGTTGACTCGGGGATGCTGCTGTACACAAGAAAGGGAACACCGACAAGGACACCGACAGCCCAAGAAATGTAAATTGCGGGCAAAAAGGTCGCCACACAATCTTCTGATTTCTTGAAGAGAAGCTTGGAACTTCCCACATCTTCTTTTCTGAAATTTTCGTTAGAACCACCAGCGCTGCTGCTTATGGTGCTAGTCCCAGCATAATAAGGAAAACCTGTGGGTCTCTCGATGGGAAATACATGCTCTGAAATGGACGACGATGTCTCTGACAGATCGTTGTTGTCACGATCCGCCCTCGCGCCCACGGGGTCCTCTTCGGCGCTAAACTCGTGCATGGGATTGTGGCCAGAGTGCAATAACATTTCGGCAGAATTATTTTTACTCGTAGAAGGTCGCTACGTTGTCCAGGAGGTCTGCACTAAATGGTTCCTCGCTACTAGTACCTCTCCAGCGCTCTTGTTCACTTTCTTTGTTTGTTCCCTTACTTGGACAGAGAGCGTTGGAGAAGGTCCCTCAAGCTCCTGTAATCCGGTCTCAAAGACTTGTGCTGACGACAGCCGCAGTTCAGCGCTGACTGAGTCTTGGTCACTTCGTTGCCAGCTGTGCCTTCGGTCTTCGCGTGGGTGGTACCGGTACCACCAGTCAGCTACAATACCGTACAGTCGTACAGCTGTACCTGTACTAGTACACTGAGTTTGCTGTTCCGTATGATACCAGACTGCTCAACAAATCGCATTGTGTGACACAATACTAGCTAGTACATGTACATGAAGTTTATCCAGTCGAGTCGAGTCAGTCGAATCGTTCCAATTGCAATCTTTAATTTTTAAAAATCAACATTTGCGTTCTACTTCTGTCGGACGACGGACAGACATACTTCACATTGTGACTTAGACGTCTGTCCGTCGTCCTTCTATTCGTGACTCAACAGTTACGGGACATGCGCATGGAAGGTCAACGGATCTTTTTTCTTTTCCTCTTCCTCACTTTCTCTTCTTGCTTTGCTTCATTCTCAGCTTCCACACATGACCATGGCGGACAACACCGTGCAGTGCAATGATGACGACAGCGAAGCATCCGCTGAGGATATCAGTGTATGGCTTGCCAAAACCCTCATGAGGTGCAGCCACAACTCGAGAGACGTCAGCGTCTCACAACGCGTGGATTTGAACCAATGCTGCAGCAAAGAAGTTCTGGAGTTTGTCAACGAAGCCCTCAAGTACAACAGTCTGATTGAAAACTTGGAAATTGAGCTATGTGATGAATTCTTACCAATAGCACTGGTGGAAGATATTTGCTATTTCATCTCCAACAATCCATCGTTGCGCATTCTAAGGATCAGTGGAGGTTCTTTCGATGCAGGGACCAACTCGCAAGAAATCAGTCAGTGCTTCCTCGAAGCAGCGCACCTGAACGAGTCTATCGTAAAGATACAAATTGGTGAAAAGGCGGCACTCCCAGCAGATTTGGAATGTGTTGCCTCTTGCAAAGAGCTGGAACTCGATGGCTTTATGGAACGGCTCGCAGAGTCATGGCCGTCGAACTTCTCCGTCGAGACCCTCCGATTGTATCGTCAGGAACAGCCAATGGGTGAATTTGAAGAGTACCTTTCCACAGTTCTGGAACGATTGGAAGACTCACCGAGCTCCATGATGATCCGGCACTTGGACCTCGGTGGGTGGAGCTATCTGTTGCCAACCTTCTTGTCGTCATCCAAATCTGCCGTGGAACGACTGGAGCTGCTGGATGTCCAGTTTCAACATGATAGTGATACGGGTTGCTCCATTATGGATGGATTACTCTGGGGCCTTATGGGAAGTATTACTACAACCAAACTGGATTTAATAGATTGTGGCTTTGATGCATTGTCAATCAAGAAGCTTTTGACCGCTCTCAAGTCCAATCGTCTTCCAGTGGAGCACTTGCGCCTCAAAGGGTTGGGGGCTTTCCAGGGAAAGGATTTATTTGAGCTCTTGGCACTTCCCTGTCTAAAGAGTCTTGGTTTGATATATTGGCATGAAATCGAGGAGATAGATCAAAAGGTCAATGACGGGCTTCAAGTGTGTTCGTTAGATTCTGTCGCTATTTCAACAGATAGATTAGCACGTCTACAACTAGGTTTGGAACGAGCTCTGAGGTTCCAGTACCTTGCAAGTGTAGAGTTGTATCATTGTACTCTTCTCGAAGAGGCTGATATTAACTGTTTGGTCAGGTTGATTGAGGACAAACGCTGCAAGCTAAGAAGTTTGGCGTTGTCTCATGTTACGTGTGGCGGTGACGCGGAAGAGGGGTATCTGGAGTCAAAGGTTTTCGAATGTCTGCAGCGTAGCGTTCGACTGGAGAGCCTCTATTGGGAGTACGACGATGATGAGATACCACACGCATTGTTCAATGCTGCCAAGGCCAGGCTGGAAAATTGGACACTGACCACCTTGAAGGTGCTCACACCCAATGCTACTGCTCCTGGGTTTTACGATGCTATCGACAATATTGCAGAGGCAATGCCCGGGAACTGGAGCTTGGAGGAAGTCACCATTGCTGGTGCCTGTTACGACTGTGAGGATCAAATTCCGCTGCCCATCTGTACGGCTGGTCAGCTCGATCTCATTGCTGCAGTTACGGAACGAAACCGTTTGAGGCAGATCATCTTTTCACCCTCCCTGCTGTGCATGACCAAAGCTGATTGTGTGATGATGCTGGCAAGTTTGTGGGATCTTCCAGATTGGCAGACACTTGCCCTGTGGTTGCTAGAAGAAGTTCCTCACCATTTCTTTGAATGAGACGATGGGGCGAAAGAAGACTGGTCAGATCATAACTTCGGAGGAAGCAAACTGAAAGACTGAAAAGGTACATAAACTAGAAACTAGAATCGCAAAAAGAAATGACATCTCTAGTCAATTCCTAGTGGTACTGTACACTGTGCAACAACTACCTAAGCAATTCCATACGGCTTGAAGTTGGGGGGTGGCTTTCCGTTGTGTTTTTCGATTTGAGACAAGAAATACTTGGAAGGCCCGTCGTCGAGGCAATCGTCCAATATACCCTGAAAGCACTGCTTTGCGTGATCCCAGTCCTGCGAGTAAAAGGATTGCAGACCAGAGTTGAATTTGTGAAAGAAGAGACCATCTGAATACTTTTGGCGAATCTTCAGCATGACCTCGCTTCTCCAAATGTTGGCGTTGTACAACGCAGGTCCAGTAGGTAGGACAAGCTCAGGTTTCACAAAAGGAACTCCTTCCGACTTGTCTGTGGTGATGTGTGCAGTACTCTGTGGACCCGCTCCAGCTCCGCCTAACGCGAAGGTAGCAGAGGCATCCATTTTGAGTTCATCACTGATGACATTGACGTCAGGCGCCGACTTGCCGCTCAAACGGGTAAGACTCATCCTGCGACCTGTCCTTCGTTTTGTATTACCGTCTCTGCCGGACTTGCCCCTCATCGACAGATTAGCTTTTGCCTCCCGACGAGAACCCAAGCGGTCGTTGAAGGACTCTGTGTCACTGATGTTGTCTGTGCCTTGCCCCTCGTTTGCAGCTGGCACTTCCCATAGTGCATCAACGTTGATGTCGTATGTATAGAGCTCCATCACGTTCTCGTCGTAAATTTCGTCCTCATCGTCGTCGTCGTCTTGGATCACGATCTGGTCAACTATTCTGCACCGATATCGGTTACTAGAGTGCAACAATCGATGGAAGCTATCCGACATAAGCATGTTGACACCATACTTCTTGGTGGAAGACTCCAAGAACTCGGCCATCTCCACGGCTTCTGAAACGTAAGTTGCATCAATCTTTCGTTCGGAACCAATTGCCCCTTGGACAGCTTTCCCTGCGTGTAGTCCACACCCCATTTGCACAACTGGTCCAGGTCGCTTTGATAGCTTGGCCAACAGCCGTTCCCGCGCTTGCTCGCTCATGGTCTCCACATAGTATTGATCGTGGTGCAGAGACATGCAGATCTTTACAACACAGAGCAGACACTTATCGGCCTGATTATTGTAAGCAGCAAGGCCATCCTTGTTGTCGGACGAGCGATTACCTGAACCGGCGCCAGAATCGGGGTCATCCAGCATCCAACTGCAGAGAAAGGCGTCGCCAATGTTCTTGTTGGCGCTCCCTCCGTAGCTGTGGCAAAAGGAATGGACCACAGCCGCAATCCTGTTTGTGAACACAAACACCTCTTCTTGCAAGCATTCCGTAGCATCAGTAAATTGTCGAATATCACAGAAAAGAAAGATGCAACTGACAGTGGCACCGCGAGTGGTCAACAAATTCACATTGGCACCTTGTTTCCTTTGGAGGTTTTGTCGGATAATCTCCACACCAGCACTTCCAAAACCAACCTTCATCAAACTACCAATACGCAAAATGGTGGACATGAGGAAACTCGTCTCCATACCCTTGAGTACTTCCTTGGTCCAACGCGTGTTTTTCGTCAACACGTCCTCCTCTGCAACAAATTTTCGATACCGCGACGTGCTCTGATAACCCAGTGGATCCAGCATCAGCATACCTAGCAATCGCACCATTCTCTCAATGGGGAGAACGACCAGTATCATGACTGGTCCTGCAAAGGCTGTCACACCAAACAACCAAATCAGTAGAATGAAGAGAGTGGAAAACAATTCTCCCATGGCCTGCGACCGTTTCTCATCGCGGTAGGCAAACCACCCAACAGTTTTACCGCCATAAGAATCCTCCACTGTAATTCGCAGGGTCTCGCGATTTCGTAGATTGTGGGGATCTTCACCGGTCAAGGGGTCAAACTCGAGTGTCGTGTTATCGGCAAACTCGTATTTGAAGAGATCCGGAATGGAGGAATACCGCGCCGCATCGATCGATGCATTTGCAAATTGTGGATAGCTGGTTTGTTCGTGCAGCACAATCATGGTCGAATGACGCGTGGCATCTTGTTCGGCGTAAGTGAAAATGACGGTCAGTACCAAACTAACAATAATTCCAATGGCCACTCGTTGTCCGGTCAATTCTCGCATGGCACCACCGACTTGAGATTCATTACCACGTCGTTTGTCCAGAATTCCTGCACTATTGGCAGTTGCCGCGGTGGCATCTCCCGCAGGAACTCCACTTCTATGACTTGTTGGTTTGCGGGATTGTCGAAAGGCGACATGCCGATTGGACGAGAGATGTTTTTCCATAATGGACCGTTTCCGAAATGCCGCGGCCGCCGAGTTGGGTGATTTTCGGAGGGACGTGGTAGCATCTTGCCAGGCAAAATCTTCTTCCTTTTCGGGAATATCGTACTGTTTGACCTTGCGCCATGCGCGTTGAATTTTGGTGGCCGCCAACTGCCGTTGCCATTCGAGTTTGTCATTGCGGAGTATTCCAACAGTCCAGAGTGCCCGTTTCACCTTTCCCCAGACTCCACGTCCTTGTTTTTCCTGTTCATCCTTTGCCAATTTGTGTGCCTTGACGGCAGCCAATGTGGCCATTCCCAATCCTCCCCACGACCGCCGTCGCATGAGTTCCGGAGGACCCGCACCATTTTGATTATTGATCGTGGCCGCTCGATTATCAAATGCGGGCGGGGATCGATCCGAATTGGGAGGACTCTTGGGTTTTTCGTCACTACTTTTCTTTTTGCCATCGGCTTCGGAATTGTCGGCATTCTTGTTGTTGTTGGTGGTGTTAGTTTTGGATCCTTCGCCGCAAAAGTGGCGTCTTATGTTGTGTGGATTGAGTACCTGAAAGGGCCAATACCAATTGACCATTCCAACAGCCTTGGCGACTCGTGAACTTCGTACAAAGCGTACGACTCGCACCGTCTTTCCAACGGTGGCCAGCAAGAAAACCTCATTCTCAACGGGTAAATCTTGATTGATTTGTCCTTCCGTCTGTTCAGCCAGAGCACATGTAGTAGAAGTAAGTGACAAGTTACCAGCGAATTGAATGAAGAGGTTAGACTCAGACAACACAAACAAGCACTTCTCACTCCATGAACTAGAATCAAAACACTGTATGTAAATGCCAGATATATATCTACTCACCGGAATCCCATAGGTATCCAACTGAATGTCGTTTGCTCGGATTTCCCGTTGTTTCTGGTTAATGTAGGAGATATCATAGAGTAGCGTCAGAGTACTAATGACATCACACCAGAATAAAAAGGACCCAATATGCAAGGGCGGTTCATCGTCATAATGATGATGATGTCTGGATGTGCGTGGCAAACATCCAAAGAATTTTCCAATTCGATTGTAGAGCGGCTTGCAGTTAAAACCGGCATACCCGGGCACGGACAACATGCGCAAAATAATGTCGAGACAAAAGACCGTCAAGGCGATTGTGTAGAGCACATCAAAGACCATGTCGTAGTCCTTGTCGCACCACAGATTCTGAATGTGCGATCCAAACAGCAATAGCAGAATGCAGAGACACATGAAAAACCGCCACACGGGGCTCGTCATGACGACCAGGAAAAAGTATTGTCGTTCATAGCGATCTCGTAGAAATTCCGGCAAGCAACTGCACAGATTCGCCCAAGTCAGTTGGGCGCGTCGACGGCGGGGAGGAGAGGGAGCGGGGATATTACTCGCAGCGGTTTCTACCACGGGAGGTTGCAAGTGACTGCCCGATTGGAAGGAGGACATGGTTGCTGTCTTTCTTTCTTGGCTTGCTTGTTCCGTAGCTCGCTCGAGATTGATTGCAGGACTGCTTTCCTCTTCTCTCCTGTTTCTCCGTCTTCTTCTCCTTGGCGGCTATGGATAGCTATTGATAGCTAGTAGCAACAGTTCATTGATAAAGGAAGGTAGAAGTCTTCTTGTCTTGCGATGCCAAAGAAAATGGTCATGGTCAAAAAGAAGAAACCTCACAGATGCGCTACCAACATCAGGGTCAGAGATAACCATTAAGGTTAAGGTGGATTGAAGATCAACTCCCACGACTTTATTTTTCCTCTTGATAACGGTTATACAAGACCTTTGAAGGTTTGCAATTCAAGAACTAAATCCAGTCACCAGTTAGTCCACAGTAGCGGAAATAAATTTAACCTTTTTACGAGACGGACAATTTGACTTGGTAGGCGTAATCACTAGTTACTTGCGTCTAGTCGTGTTGCTTAATTCAATATTCTCACTAGTTAGTAGGAGTTTTCTTCATTTATACCAGTGAGGATAAGGTTGGGTATATTTTGGAGTCGTTGAGTGAAATCTCTAACCTTAAGCAAAATACTCTTTGATTTCGTTGATGGCTGTCTTGAGATCATGTGGGAGGTAGCCTTCTCCATAGGTGACGACCCACATTTTTAGTTTTTTAGAAGAAGAAATAATGAAGGAGTTGAGCTAGTCACGAGATACTACTAAGTTCTTATCTCTCTAATTCTACGCCATTGTTTTTGATGGACAGTTCTCCTTGGAGTTCACTCACTAAACAGGAGAAAGCTTCCTCGGAAAGCGGGGTGCACTCGAACTCAGATGGGATAGTGGTGTGTTCATTTAGAAGAAATGCTCCTTTGATGTATGGATTCCCACGGAGGGACATTCTTCGAACAAATATTAGATAGGGAATTGCTCCTTGATTCCATGTGTGTTCTATGAACGCATCTTGGTCTTCGCCATTTGACGGGAAATAAAATTTTAGAGGTTGCATTTTATATTCTTCTCATAAGGGTGTAAAATACTCGTTAGTTTAACAAACTATGGCCACGGAGTGGCTTTTGTGACGCGGGCAATGGGTGGGGAAGCCCCCACCTAGCTGAGTCGTCATCTACTTATTTGCCCAATCAACATGACCTCATCCACTGGCCCAACGTGGAGCCAGCACCAAGTAGACAGATGCCCTGGGTAGGGGGTGAGCACATTGATAGGGAACCTGCAGCGCAAAACCTGGGTTACAGGGGCTTACACAGGATTTTTGTCGGTATTGAAACCATTATCACCATAGGGACCATGAGGACCAGTTAGATTGCCAGACCAAAGAGTGCTCGCCAGTAAGTGTGTCTGGGTGATCAGGTCCCAAGCTGTGCAAGGGCCTTGGCATGCAAGGCAAGATGCCAGCAGAGCCCGTAGGAGGTGGTACTCTCAGGCTGGACCAGAGCAGGGTTAACCCATCCAATGCACAAAAATTGTTAGATAGAGCCAACAAGCAGGCAAAAGATGGGTCAAATGACACATGGCAGTGTGTGGTTCCCAGGAGGGAGGCACAGTGGCTGCTGGAGTGTTGTGGGCTGTTCGAGGGTTGTTGAGTCAATAGAAGGAGGATAAGGGGCACTGGAAGTGGGCTGGTGCCAGGGCAGGAGGGGAGGTCTGTTGGTGTTGGAGTGTTGTTGAAGAGTTGGGAAGCATGGTTGATGGTTGTTGTAGGATAGAGGCGTGCCTGTGTTCAAGGGTGAGAACAAAGGCATCCTCCCTGATAGGGTAGGTGTGATTCGGAAGGGTGTGATCCTCAAGATGGCTGCATGCCTCTAGGAGCTGTTGGCTGATCATCTGGGGAGTGTGTGTTGTGTAGTCTGGAGGATGGTGGATGTGTTGGTTGGGTGAAGTGGGGTGGGGGAATGTCTGGGAGGACCTTGGGTTTGAGTGAAGTAGTGGGTAGACATGGGGAAGTCATGTGGGTGGTAGTGGGTTGTGGGAGAGTTGTGTATCCTGGAGGATTGACTGTAGTGTCGTTGCTTCAACGCAAGCAATGGAGGTGCTTGTGAGGTGGCGAGATGATTGAGTAGAAGGGTGTATTCAAGGGGCAATGCACTGAGCACTGGTATCAAGGTTTATATCAAGTTGTTGGGTTGTGTTGCCACTGGATCAAAGGCTGTGCCAGTCTGGTGCAGGTATACCACTACCTGCAGGAGAAGATGGTATCAGAGCCAAAGGCTGTTAGGGATTCTTTCAGGGAAACTGAGAAGTCACGCTATAGCCAGTAGAGGCAGTGGTGGGGGATCAAGGGGTGTTGTTGGTTGATGGGGCTGTGGTACTGGATGACACTGTGTTGTCTCAAAGGCTGGTACTCAAACTGTTGTAGTGACCGATACTATCAATGCAACAGAGAGTCAAGCCAAGATTGGAGGGTATCGATTCAGGTGGAACTGTGGAAAGTCACTGGAGAGTCACTCAACAACAATGAGAGAGAGATAGAGTCAGTTATGTATTAATATCTATGCCAACCACGCTGCAGTCTGTCTGGGGCTCAATCCTTTGGAGTTCCTTAAGTCAGTAGGAGAGTCAGGTGCAGTACAGAGAGGTGGCTGTGTCATGAGGGTTGCACAATCTAGCCAACACGCTAGAGGGGCACTTTTAGTTGGTTCTTGTGGGGTAGGATCCTTTGGAGAGGAGCTGGATATCCAGGGAGGGGCTGTTGAACTATGAGAGTGCAGCCAAGCATGGTGATAAAGTTTGAGGACGACTGACTGCAGGGAGCTCTATGCAGCCGGTGTACTCTTGAACTCAAGTCCTTACAGGAATCTTGTTGTTTGTTGTTCCTCTTGGTGAGGAGTTAGATATCAATGTTTGTCAGGTGGTGTCGATTGCAGTAACAGTCTGTTATAGGGTGTAGACTGGTCTGTGATAGTGGATGCGTTCCTTATATCAAGTGGACGTGGTGTGAGAACCACTAAGTGGCGGTGAGAGTAAGAGAGTCAGTTGTGTAATTCGTCTTGCTTGTGTGTGTCTATGCAGTGTGTCTCGTAAGTCCTTCTTGATAATAGGTGATGCTGTGTCGAAGAGGCTGGTGTCTGCGTTGGTATGTAGTCACGGATAGCGAGGTCTTGGATTTTCTGTGTTTCGAAACGGAGATCGATTCGATTCGAGTAGTGTTTGTTGTTGTGTCTGGGGTGGGTTAATCAACGTCCACGGTTGCCTTAGGGTAAGGTATAACCGAGCCTGTTTGTGTTGGGAGAAGTAGTGAGATGGTATCACGTTCGAAAAGAGGGCGACAATGGGATTTCCGGTCGCGTCAGAGCTTAGTTCAGAAAGACAAGGAATACGTATGGGAATTGTTGTAGCTGTACGTTGCTTGGGAGAGCTGTGCTGTGTTCTGTGTGTGTGATGTGTGCGCTCAGAGTGTGTGGGTGTTGCGGGTCGGAGATAGAAAACCCGCGATCTCGTAGGAGGTTCATTGGGATGGCTTTCGTCTCTTGTATCCGGAGGGTCATGTTGATTGGGCAAATAAGTAGATGACGACTCAGCTAGGTGGGGGCTTCCCCACCAATTGCCCGCGTCACAAAAGCCACTCCGTGGCCATAGTTTGTTAAACTAACGAGTATTTTACACCCGTGTATTGCACGATAATCCTATCGTCATGGAACTCAGGAATCATAAAGGCACCCTTGCACTTCGTGCTGGTGTTTAATTCTCCTGCAGGGGTAGTCCACATTGTTTGGACGCCCCCAAGATCCTTCATGCGTAATTTCTTAGCATGAGTTTGAGCAATCAAAGTTCCGGATGCTCCTGTATCCAGTAAGCAACGGAGTGTAACGGGTTTTGGTTCCCTTTTTCTCGTCTGTTAAATCTAACATAGACGATAGGTTTGAGGTCTTTTGTCTTGCGACGTTTACGAGGTGGTTGGCCACGTACGAGGTTAACAATGCTAAATAGATCGTCAGAATCTAATTTAGCAGCTTCTAGGCAATCATCTAATTTGCCGTAGACTTCATCAGTTGCAAACAATTCTTGTTTACTAGTTAGTGAGATATCTTCATCACTTAGGTATGAGAAATCGGGACATGGTTCCGTTGAATCATCATCCTGGCCTAATCCTCAGACGGAGATTTCTCCATCCGATTGATTGAAATCGAAGTCGGCAAGAGCCTTGTCCACTGCGGCCATCTTCTTGTCCATCATGTTGAGGGACCCGACAGAGGAGTTATCCTCGTCATCAGAGTCATCCGACTTGCGCTTGGCAACATGGTTGCATTCGCTTTTCTTCTTGCGATCAGCCTTGAACGCAGCAGTGGAGACTTTCTTCATAAGGACAGAAAGTTCCTTCTTGGTGTAGGACTTGGCATCGTCAGACTTACTTTTCCAAGTCTTGTTCTTGTTGTACGCTGGCTTGCTATTGTTACCAGACGAGGACTTGGACTTGAGTTTCTTCAGAGTCATGCAGTCAGCAGTATCGTGAGTGCTGGACTCGTGGTAATCACACCACTTTCCTTCGTTCTTGGAGGAGTGGTTGTTGTTGCGGCTAGACTTGTACTTTTTGCTGCTGTTCTTCTTCGAAGTAGCTTGCTTGGCATCGCTGCCTTTGTCAAAGTCTTCAGCAGATTCCATGTGCTCACAGAATCCAATGAGAGCCGTCATCTCGGCAGTGAAAGGATCGAAGCCGTGTTCGTCCATCTTGCACATCCAGGAACGAGGAATGCCATGACAGATGATGTCAATGAATTCGTCCTGGTTCAACTGTTGATTGGCACCGAAAGGTGGCAAACGTGGAAGCTCATCGGTATTCATCCGAGTGTGGTTGTTGATGTAGGCACGAGTTGTCATCTCGCTAGGCTTGCGCATCTTACGATGCATGAAGCATTTCTGTTTTTCGAGAGCCTTGTAAGGACAGGCTTGTTCGATCACCGCATTGATTCCAAAGGTGATGTCAGCATCGCTTAGAGCAGGTTCTGCTGCACCGTCCCATGCAGCTTGGACACGAGCTTGGAATTGGACTTCGGTTTCTCCAGAAGTCACGTCGCGTGGAGCAATTGCATTCACAGCAATTTGTCGAAGGGCGTTATGATGCACGGCACGACTGCCTGCACACCCAGCTTCGTAGGCACTCTTTGCAGAGCTGGAAGTCATCTCCTTGAGAAGACGATGTTTGTCGTCGGCACCAGCAAGGTTGAGTCCAACGAAGACCTTTTCCATATTCGTGGCCCACTTGATGGTCTCATGTGGAGTGTTGGAGCCATTGATGATGGCTACTTTGAAAGTGTACTTGGCACTGGCTGCATCTGCAGGAATGGTGCGAAGTTTGTAGGTGGTTGCACGAGTGTCGTCAACCTCGTTGTCTTCGTCATTGTCGACGAGAGGAAGAATGGGTTTGTCACGCAACTGTTTCTCGAAGTTGCTGAACGCATGCTTTCCTTGAGCAATCTTCATGGTAAAGGAATAGGTTGAGGGTAGCTGAAAGCTATTGTCTTTGTTAACAAAATGCACTACGCTAAAAGCTAGTGTAAAGATCTTTCGAGTGTTTTGAGTTTGAGAGAATGAAAGTTATAAGAGAGATTAGAAAGCTACGAAAACTAATCCACGAGAGAGATCGTTGTGAAGCTCATTGAAGTTGGTCTCCCGCGGGAGGCCTCGAAGTGGCTGTGATATCGTTGGTTATGGTAATAACTCTACGTACTCCACGGTCCATTTCCGGAACACGTGGAAATTTCAGCTAGTAGCTGTCTAGTAGCGTGGAAGCTTTCCATGCCGGCTAAATATCTAGAGCGATGTTCCATCGACAACATGCCTAGTATGACTAGCAGTCATGAGAACCTTGTCTCAATGACTATTCGCGAAGGACTACGTCATGAGTCGAATTCAAACCCTATCTAGGATCGAGTCGCGAATAAGGCTAAGAGCCGTGTATTGCACTAGCTTAAATAAAAAAGAAGGTTATAATGAAGGAATGATACCGGGCGGCAACACACGACGAAGTCGGATGTTGTCGCCAGGGCTACTTTGAAAGAAGGGTGCAATCTCAAACATATCATCATTCTTCTATCTGTCTTTCTGCCGAGGTATCGCAGCTCCCGCTGATTTAATTACCTCGGCAGGTAAACTGCCTGAGTTCTCAAGCCCTTTACCTCGGCAGTCTATCTGCCTGAGCCCTCACCCCCTTTTTTGGTATTTCCTGTTTCCTGTTCCGGTGAAGCCAAAATATAGGGGTAGAGATAGGCGTAAGCCAACAAGTTTTTTAAAGATTCTACAAATTTAGGGGTAGGAATAAATCATGATTATTCAAGGTTAGTGCACTCAACACAATAAGCCAGCAGAAGCTATAAAAGTTACAGGTACATACGGGAGTGACAGCTGTAAAATTATGGTTAGCGGGCATCGCCAGGGCTAGCTTAAATAAAAAAAGAAGATTATTTGAGGGAATGATACCGGGCGGCAACACACGAGAAAGTCAGGTGTTGTCGCCAGGGCTACCTTGAAAGAAGGGTGCAATCTCAAACTTGTCATCCTTCTTCTATCTGTCTTTCTGCTGAGGTACTGACTTAAATCCTATTTCCTATTTCCTATTCCGGTGAAGCCAAAGTATAAGGATAGAGATAGTCATAAGCCAACAAAACTGAACATTGATGGTTCAATACAAGTTAGGGGTAGGAATAAATCATTAATATTTAAGGTTAGTGCAATCAGCACAACAGCACAATAAGCCAGCAGGAGCTGTAAAGGTTAGAGTTACAATAAGGGAACGGCAGCTGGTAAATTATAGAGTATTGGGCAGAAACACACGACGTAGTCGGGTGTTGTCGCCAGGGCTACCTTCATAAAACGAAGGTTGCAATGAGGGAATGAATGATACCGGGCGGCAACACACGACGTAGTCGGGTGTTGTCGCCAGGGCTAGCTTGAAAAATGGGTGCAATCTCGAACGTGATCCTCCTTCTTCTATCTGTCTTTCTGCCGAGGTATCGCAGCTCCCGCTGACTTAACTATTTCCTATTCCGGTGAAGCCAAAATACAGGGATAGAGATAGTCATAAGCCAACCGAACTGAAAATTGAAGGTTCTACAAATTTAAGGGTAGGAATAAATCATGATTATTCAAGGTTAGTGCACTCAACACAATAAGCCAGCACAAGCTACAAAAGTTACAGTTCCATAAGGGAATGACAGCTGTAAAATTATGGTTCTACGATTTTAGCAAAAAGTGACTGAACTAAGTAAGTTTACTCACAAACTGGTTAGCGGGCGGCAACACACGACGAAGTCGGGTGTTGTCGCCAGGGCTACCTTATTTAAAAAAGAAGGTTATAATGAGGGAATGGTAACGGGCGGCACCACACGACGGAGTCGGGTGTTGTCGCCAGGCCTACCTTGAAAGAAGGATGCAATCTCAAACATGTCATCCTTCTTCTATTTGTCTTTCTGCCGAGGTATCGCAGCTCCCGCTGACTTATTTAAAATTAAGTCAGCGGGAGCTGCGATACCTCGGCAGAAAGACAGATAGAAGAAGGATGACATGTTTGAGATTGCACTCTTCTTTCAAGCTAGCCCTGGGACAACACCCGACTCGTCGTGTGTTGCCGCCGGTATCATTCCCTCATTAACCTTCTTTTTTATTTAATTTTATTAAGCTAGCATTGCGTAGCCACGGCCTAACCCAAAATTTACAGCTATCATTCGATTGTGTAACTCTAAATTTACAAACCTGCTGGCTTATTGTGTTTTGTCCTGAGTGCACTAACCTTAAATATATTGATATATTCCTACCCTAACTTTTATTGAACCTTCAATTTCCAGTTTTGCCAGCTTACATTATCTCTATCCTTATACCTGGCTTCACCGGAATAGGGGATCCACAGACACAAAACGAGGGGATCCCACAGACAAAAACCAGGGGGATCCCACAGACAGAATATTTGCCAATAAAGGGGTAGAGGACTCAGGCAGTTAACCTGCCAAGGTAAAACATGAAGACTATAGTCATGGCATGTTTACTCACATCGCAAACATCTCACACAACTCACGTACTGTACACACACCCACAGGTGCACACAAGATCCCATAATCATCAGATCTTCTCTGTAGATAAGAGAACCTACTGCACAGTCTCACCAGATCTTCTCTAGATAAGAGGACCTACTGCACGCTTGCTTGTTAACTCTAGTATCTCATGCCCATGATGGAAGATAGTGTGTATACAAAAGTTTCGCTATTATTTTTACATTTGTTGAATGGAGTTCTTTGCGTTTCTATTGATGTGTACAGTGCCGCTGTGGCATCTTGTGTGCGTAGAGATCTCCTGATTCAGTGCGTTGCTACAATCTTTTTGTGATTTTGATCCGGCTGGTTGTTTCACGCATTCGTTGCGCCATTGATCAATTGGATCCTTCCGATGAGCTGGATTTCGTACAGTAGTGGCTCCCCGGTTGCTTGCTTCCTTTCAGTTCAGTTAAACTGGACCTTCCTTGTCTTTCTTCAGGCTGCCGTGGAGGTTTCTTCAGGGCCTCGCAGGTACTCGGAATGGTAAACAGGGTCAATGGTTCCAACGAAGCGTGTGGTCATGAGCTTGTCCGTGATCGATTTCAAATCATCAGCACCAATCAAGCATGCCTTGGTACATTTCGAAGGAGAGTAGTGATGACAACAGTTGCTGAGAAGTCCAGTGGCTCGACTTCGTCTGTTGATCCTTGCTGGAACATCCCAAGTTGCGTTCACACGGCTCGGCTCATTCTTCACCATGGACGAAAGACCTGAAGATCTGCTTCGTTGCAAGCCACTTCCGCGCTTGGGGGTCACCGACAACTCTGAAGCACTGTCGCGCTTGAGCTGGAAAGACAAGTTGCATCGTGTAAGAGTCATGTTTGTTTGGTGTTGTGTTATGTTATGGAAAACCTAGTTAGCCAAGTGTTTGGTTGCCCTTTGCAAAGTTTGTTTGCTTGAATTGTGACACAAGAGTGGCTGAGTATTTGATCATCTCCAAGGCTCCATACTTTTTGCAAAGTGCTGGAGAGTGGCGACTTTGGTTGGCCTTTTCCTTTGTTCGCCGAAAGGGCGCTGCCTCACACCGTCTGAAGTGGTGATGACTCGTGCTGAGGTGTCCATTTTGCTTTGTTCACAGTGGTAAAAAGCTCTCATCACAGTGGTTCATGACATTCGTGTGACAGGTTGCTACCACTGGTATCATACTAGCTAGCTAGCTAGTACTCGGAGTAGCAGAGCTTACCGGTAGGTTACCAGTAATGATACGGGTACTGGGACACTGGGACCAGTACTGTACTAGTACAACCGTACGCAAAAATATCTTCGGGACACGGGACACCACTCCCCCACTTCCCCGTTTTCTGTTGAAGAACACCACCTTGGACGCACAGAGAATTTCTACTTAAAGAGATTACACTATTAATAGTAGCTTTTTCAACCAAGATTGCAATGGCCTTATACAATATTACATGTACAGCTAGCTGTCAAAACCGTTCCGAAATCAGAGAATCCGGAGCAGTCCTGTTTGCTTGTTTGTTATTAGCTCTTGTTCCTGCCGCCACTACTCTTTCTGCTACTGTACCGGTACTCGAGTACTCCCTGTCCCATCTTTGGAAGCTGTCAACAAAACAGTTCACGCTTACTTATTTTTGTTACTCGAGTACTGAGATGTAGCCAGCAAACAATTAGCCCCAATTTCCAACAAAGTTTTGCAAAAGGAGTAAAGGGGATCAGAAATAATCCTGGTACTCAGGTTTGTTCCTAACCACAGAATTTACGGTACGTACGTACGCGAAATAGAAAGAATTCGAAATAACTGCCGAATTCGGAAAGGTGACCTCCAAATCCACAGATACGGCGAACCGCAGGAAATGTTTATAGTAAAAAAGTGGAGCTGCGGTTCGCAGGATGAATGGATTTGGAATTCGCATAGGGCCAATCATAACGCTCGAAACTCCCACAGCAAATCCCCAACTCTATCGAGTTTCGAAAATCGAAAAGTGAGATCTCGAGATCTCATCAGCACGTCCTCTTCATCAAATCATTGAAAAGTGAGAAGAAGTACATGTATAGTAGTAGCCATTCGGTACATGTATAGTAGTAGCCATTCGGCAGCATTGTAGCCACGCTGTTGTCATTGTCGTCATGGACGATGAATACAAACAAGATGTCGCACTGCTTTTGCAGCTCTTTATTCTAACGGTGGGCCTTCTACTGTGTCTACCCGGCGAACCTCGGAACCCTTCCTTTTTCGAACAAAGGTTGGCTTGGCAGCGCTACTGCGAAAAACACCAGAGGCGTTCAACCTTTAAGAGACGACTACGAATGAGCAAAGAAAGCTTCGACAAACTGCTTTCTTTCGTAGTTGACGACTTGCTAGTAAACGAGACGCAAGCTTTGCGGAGAGGAGGATCCATTCTTCCTGAACTCTGTCTCTATTGCACGCTTCGATATTTGGCTGGCGGCTCATATCTAGATATTACCGACATCGCTGGAATATCAGAGAGCTCATTCTACCGCGTATTATGGAAGACTATAACGGCAATCTGTAAGTCTCCGCAGCTGAAGATTCGCTTCCCAACTACCGACAAGGAAATAAAAGACGCAATAGAGGGCTTTGCTGGGATATCCGATGGTGGCGCCATAAGCAACTGTGTGGGTGTCGTTGATGGCTATCTTATGCGTATAAGGGTTCCCGCAAAAAAGGAAACAGGCAACATTCGTAGCTTCTTCTCTGGACACTATCAGTGCTACGGAGTTAATATTCAAGCCGTGGCGGATCACCATTCACGGTTCATATTCTTTGCCTACGCAGCTCCTGGCGTTTCTGACGACCGTAATGCTATGCGGCAATGTGCTTTGCACAATTTGGTCGAGTCACTACCATCCGGTGTTTGTGTAATCGGCGATGCTGCGTATATCCCCACAGAGCGTACGGTTCCAGTTTACCAAGGTTCTGACAAGCTGGTTCCACTCTACGACAACTTCAACTTCTACGCCAGTCAGTGTCGCATACGTGTCGAAATGGCCTTCGGAATGATGCAGCTGAAATGGGGAATACTTGCGCGTCCGGTTGGCTGCTCCTTGAAGAATATGTTGTGGTTGGCACAAGCCATAGCTCGCCTACACAACTTTTGTATCAATGAACGCCTCAGAACTACAGAGACAATTGACCGTGGCACCGTTGGTACAAATGGTACGGGATACATTCCCAGTGTTCCCCATGATGACAATGGCGATCCTGTGCGGTTGGACGGTGTTTTCACAGGTAGCTTTGAGGGAAATTCACATCTACGGGAATTCATGGCGAATAGAGTTAGGCGTCTACAGCTGCAACGGCCTGCGAAGAACAGAAAGCGTAAAAGCAGAGAAGACGAGTAATACACGAATCACATTTAAATATTAGTATTTTTATTCGGCCAGTGCGCCAGTTTCCTCTGTTTCAATAACTGACTTGGCCGGCACGATCTTCAAGTGCGCTTCAAGTTGTCGGATACGAACCTCCATGGCTCCAACCATACGGGCTTTGGACGAATCCCCGTTGCGGATATCCTCCTTCAATTTACAATACCGATCGCAAACATCGAAATAGTCATTCCAGCTCTTCGTTTGAGAGACTTCCTCCGTCGCGTTGTTTCTTTGGCTCATTGCTTCCTTCAAATCGGTGGTTGCGGTGGCAAGGGATTCCACGACGGCGGATACAGCAAGTTTTCCCGCTTTGCTACCAGCCGAATCAGCACTCCCAGTAAAGTCAACCGTAGAGTCACTCTTCAAATCTTCGTCCATAAATGCCGCAAACTTGCCATCAATGGCAGGTTGTTGCACACAAAGATAGTCACAGTAGTAAACTGTAACGGCAGGTAGAGCAGACGTAGATTTCCTCACTTTTGTAAACTTCGTCGTTGTACAGTATGTCCAAAGGTCGTTGCTGTGCTCACCGGATTTCTTCATTTCCATGCGGCATCTCTCGCGTGACTTCATCAAGTCACACACATGTTGCTTAACCGTCTTGAATGTGTGGCCACGGCTGATATCTTTAAGGTTGAAACCGTTTTCTTGGTTCCATGCACTGAGCCTGTCGTTTTCCCCCTCTTGCAATCCTAAGACGGTGTCAAACGAATCATCATCCGTCTCATTCATCGTGTCTGAGACAAGAAGCCAAAAGTCTTTCACGGGATTTCCGCTAACTCCCTGCTCTGAGAGTGGCTGTTCTTCATAGTCCTTGCGTCCCTTACTGTCGTTAGAGCAACAAAGGCAGTGAAATTATCAGCGTGGAAGCATATATTCAAAAGTTTTATGAGAGTGTTGATCCTCACGGCTGCGGCATCAGAACCTGGGTTCGCAATAGACAGGTCAGTGTACATAGTGCCCATCTGAATGCTGCGTGCAATCTCCATCCTTGCAGTGAAAATAGTCATGTTACCACCTCCCCTGACTCCACACTTGAGAGCGAGAGCACGGACGTCCTTGCTGGTAAATTTGGACAAGTCCAGGACTTCTTCGTTGGGTTGGTCTTTACGAACGGTCATTGTCATAGCCACGTTGTAGATCTCGCCATCCTTGGGACTTTGCTCTTGCCCGCACACAATTTTGTGCTTGTGCGCGATGTGATCGTATCCGCAAATCATTGCCGAGATAAGCTGTGCAAGCCTAACCACTTCCGCCCATCCAAGAACTAGGTTCAGTCGAACCCAACAAGTCCGTGACTTCCAAGCTACATCATTTCCAGCTTCTATGCACTTCCAATAGGGCATCACTTCCCACAAGTCTACGACTTCCAGAAGCTTCAACCAGCTTCCATCTACGAAGGGCTTCCAGCCCCATCCAGTGTCAATGCGATCGAACCTTCCCAGTCCGAGCCGCAGGTGCACCAAGTGACGGTATCATCGACACCAGTCTTCCAGAGTGGCACCACTCTCAGAAGGAGTGCAAGCCACAAAGACTTTCTGATGATGACAATGTCCGTATTGTCTCGTCTCCACCGCTCAGCTTCTCGCCACCAAGCGGGATGCCGAGCAACTACTTCCACGGTTTGTTTTGGACTCATTGCAAGCCAGTCGACACGACGCCGCGAGACTGGATTGCAAGCCTTTCCAAGGTAGGAGCCTGCTTACCCAAGCACTGATAGACACTTTGAGTGCTATCGATTCTCAGGAATGCTAGAGGCACCGCCTCAAGCTCCACAGCAATCCAAGTGCATCCAATGTCCAAACCAACCAAGCCAGCTTTGGCTACAACAAGTACAGTCCTGCCACAGCTAGCTCACAGAAGTGTGCCACAGTGACAGCAGGAGTGTATTGATAAAGTTGTACCCACCAAAACCAAAGTCTCAAACCTTTTTCAACCTTCCTTTGAATTCTCCGATCGATCTATCCAGATTATTGACACACCAGATCGACTGACAAGAAACGATCATGCCAGATCGATCGACACGAAGCGATCGAATCACAAGCAGCGACCACGAGATCGATTCAGTTTGACTCTCGGGATCGACTCAGAAGATCCATCATGAGATTGCAAGTGCGACCACAGAAGCCTATCTAGGCAGAGCAAGCTTACTCAAGCAAGGGTAGCCACACACCAGTGCTACCGGGATATCTTCTGCAGAGATTCCCACAGTTCCACAGGAACAGTTCCACCATGGAACCAGCTCAAAGCAAGCAACAGTTCGACGGAACGCCACAAGTTGCCAGCACCATCTACAG